CTGCCGCTGCTGGTGACGGTGCTGCCGGAGCAATGGGACCTGCCCTCCTACATCACCATCATCATCCAGATGGCCAACGTGGGGCCGCTTTTCATCACCCTCATGCACCGCTTTCGGCCCGGCTTGCTGAATGAGGTGGCCATTATCTACATGGTCGTGTCTGTGGGTGTCGTGGCCTGCTTGCTTTTGGCCTTCTTCTGGAACTACACGTCCTCCATCGCTGGGAGGCCCCACAGCACCGCCTTCCTGCTCCTCACCTTCTTCCTGGCCCTGGTGGACTGCACCTCCTCCGTCACCTTCCTGCCCTTCATGATGCAGCTGCAGCCCCAATACCTGACCACCTTCTTCATAGGCGAAGGGCTCAGCGGGCTGATCCCCGCTCTCATCGCCCTGGGCCAGGGCTCTGGCATCTCCAGCTGTGCCAATGTTACCCACGTGGTCAACATCACCACCGGCAACAAGACCGTGGAGAGCACTGTCTTCCAGCTGGAGACCCGCTACCTCCCAGCCAATTTCTCCACCTTCTTCTTCTTCCTCCTCATGACTGTAATGATGCTGGCCTGCTTGCTGGCCTTCTTCTTCCTCGCCAGGCAGCCCAAGGTGTGGGAGCTCTCCCAGCAGCAGCTGTTTCCCAGCAGCATCATGCTGAGCTCATTTGACCAGATCCCCAACGAGGAAGCTGGCTCGCGGCTGAGCAGGGGCTGCCCGTGCCCAAAGGATGCCAAGGGGCCTGGGGACATCCTGCCGGAGAAGGTGTCCTGCCCCCTGGCCAAGCTCACCTTCATCTACCTCCTCATCACTTGGGTGAGCGCTCTGACGAACGGGGTCCTGCCGTCCGTGCAGTCCTACTCCTGCCTGCCCTACGGCAACACCGCCTACCACCTCGCGGCCACGCTCAGCTCCATGGCCAACCCCCTCGCCTGCATCGTGGCCATGGTCCTGCCCAGCAGGTGGGTAGCAGGGCACAGGGGGCTGCGGCGGGGTGCACCCCGGGGGCTTCTGCCCCAGGAACGACCCCCCGCTTTGCAATGGGGTGGGGGGGAGAAGGCACTGGGTGGGAGAGGGTCCACAGGGTGCCGGTGCCTTGGCAGCAGAGACACCCTGGGAAAGGAGGCTGGGGTCGGCAC